TTGTTTGTTTGTTTGCAATAACCCAGGTGCACACGGTACAGAGTTTTATGTACTGCAGACTCAACAATACCGCAAACATCTGAGCCACCCTGGTTTGCCAATAAGGGTGTGTGTACCTTACTTCAATTTTCAGAATGCACCCAGGCCCTTAAACTTCCTTTCTGATCTGAGAGGAAAACCAACGTGCAGCAATATACAGCCAGCCTGTGGAACTCCTTCAGTTACCACTCCTTGAAACTAATTTCCACACTGCTCTTTAAAATAAACCACACAGAAATTGCCAACTCCTTTGGAGTTGTGAGTGACTCTCATTATAATCACTGTAATTTCCACCCACGTTGTACATGCATATTTTGTGAATGACGATGATGAATGTAATCAGGACGGAAATAAGAATGCTGGAACCTCAGGCCTCTTCTTCTGAGGGCCCACAGTAATACTCAGTTCTGTGATGGACGCAGAACTCTAAATACAGTGTGGGGCACCCTATGGGGACCCTTGACATCAAAGGAGACACTATTTTCATACTCCAGTCCCCATCCCCTTCTCCGTCCCCTGACCCCATTCAGCCTTGTGTTAACCATAACCCACAATTTCTCCTCCCACTGTCCCCCAACTGTGTCCCCAAGCTCCATACACACAGTCCTCATCACCTCATCTCCATAACTCAATCGCCATTCCCAACTGTGCACCAAACTGCCCAGTTCCTAATCCCAGTTCCACTGATTTTACCAGCCACCACCTCACCTTGCCATGCCTCTCTGCCACTTGATTCGTCAACAAAGAAAAGGCACTGGCAGCGTGCTGTGAACCCGAGCCCTACTGTTGAGTGTCGGCCTAGGCTCTTCCCGGATCCTCCACAGTCCCAACAATGGTTCCTTTAGGACCCTCCACCTGGTGCTCTTAAGGGCCAGGATTCTGGCCTATTCCTCTCTGCATCCCCAGAGCTAACCACAGCACCTGGGTATAAAGCAGACACTCCATAAATGTTGACACCAGAAAAGCAGGAACAACAAATTCTTCTACAATTAAATCTAAACATAAGCAGTGCAGACGGTTCAACAGAAAGTTGACATCATTCACATCAGCAGACAATTCTGGAACACCTATTGCTGGAAATTCTAGAGGATTTAAAGAACATATTCTGCTTTTAACATTTCTACAGAACAGAATTACTTTGCATATATGTTTTAGGAAAGAAAGCAGAAAAATGCAGGTTTTAGGCTGAAAGCAAGGCCCTAGACATTAGTATTTAACTAAATATAAATTAGAATCAGATTATTTCCCCTAAAGAGATATAAGCCACTTTAGTTTTATTTTTAGTCCCTCTCTAGACTTGGCAATACAGATTAGGTATACACTGGTGTCAAAAACCAGGAAACAATGCAATGACACTACCTCAAAATAGTATTTTTGGTGGCTAGCATTGTGGTATAGTAGGTAGTGCTACCACCTGCAATGCTGCCCATATAGGCACCGGTTGATGTCCCAGCTGCTCCAGTTCTGATCCAGCTCCTGCTGATGGCCTGGGAAAGCAGCACAAGATGGCCCAAGTGCTTGGGTCCCTCCCCCCGATGTGGGAGACCCAGGTGAAGCTCCTGGCTCGGGCATGGCTAAGCCCTGGCCACTGCAGCCACCCAGGGAGTGAACCAGTGGATGGGAAGATCTCTGTCTCCCTCTCTCCCATTCTGACGAATAAATCTTAAATAAAATAAAAGCAGTTAGTGCCTGTCAGTCTTCTGAAGTCTTTAACAAAAAGAACAAACAGGGAGTGGTACTTTAGCCTAGCGGTCAAGAGGCCCACATCCCACATAAGAGTGCCCATGTTCAATTTTTTGCTCCAGCTCCTGACTCCAGCTTCCTGCCAATGTGCACCTGGGGAGGCAGCAAGTGATGTGAGTACTTGGGTTCCTGCCTTCTACATGGGAGGCCTAGATTGAGTTCCTAGCTTCTGGCTTCAGCCTGGCCAGCTCTGGCCATGGTGGACATCTGGGGAGTGAACCATCTCTCTCTCTCTCTCTTCCAAATACATAATTTTTTAAAAAATGTTTTTCAACTGATAGAGCAGATCAAGACAACAAACAGTGTCTTTAGAAAACTCTTTGCATTTGCTCCCTGATTCTTGCTGTGTTAATTTTGGGCTATCTAGGGGCCCGCCCACACTCTGGTCATCAAAGGCTGTTTTCTTAGAAAGTTAAAAATACACTCCAATGGCCTGCCAAGTTTACTCTTCCAATCCACAGCCACATCAAGATGTATTTTCTCTTGTTCCTTCAAATAAGTCTACCACTTCCAGCTCAATGATGGTGCTTTCAGGCGGGACCTCTGCTCTGAGCTTCAGACCCGATCCTGGTTGCCAGCTGGACGCACACACAGTTCTGGATAAGGCTTCTCCCAGTCACCTTCCTTGTCTCCCTCCCTCCTGCCAACCTGGCCCAGCCGGTGCCAATGTGCCAGCTCAGCTTCTGGAATCCTCGGCTCTCCCACTATTCCTGGCCCTAATTACCTTCTTCCAGGTTACTGCAACAGCCGCCCAAACAACAGCCCTGCCTCTCCCTCTCAATTCTGCCATCCTCTGCTGTCGGTTTCAAAATCATAGGTCTGGCCACATTACTTCTCCCTAAACTGCTCCTCCTTACTCAGAAAAGCAAAATCCCAAGGCCTCAGGCTGGCAAACCAGAAGGCCCTCCCCCACCAGCCCAGCTTCCCACCACACCCACGGGTAACACCCTGGGCTCCAGCCACAAGGCGGACTGCTTCCCCCAGACACCACAGCACACCCCTTTCTGCCCAGGTGCCCCCAGGGCTTTCTCTCCAAGCACCACCCACACACGCATACCCTGCCCCTCCACCAACGTCCACCTGCCAGCTCATTTCAGGTCCAGTGGACATCATCCAGATCCATCTCCTCCAAGGCCATGGGGGATGAGCCGCCCTCTTTCTGGGTGGTCCTCTGCTACTCAGGGTCCCAGTGCCCTCCGTTCCAGTAGGAAGCAGCCATCACCTTCAACATCCCCACTGTTTCACCGCGTCCTCACTCCCCGGACACTCAACCCTTTTCTCCACTCCAGTCCCTCTCACTGAAAGCAAACACAAGCCAGGATGACAGCCCCCTGCAATCTGTCCCAACCGACCATATGGCATCCTTCGAGGGCCAGCCAAGCCTCACGAGAAAGGGCAGCCTGCATGCCCTCTCCCCTGTGCTCAGCACCAGTCACCCCTCACCCCTGTGGTCTGACCTCACCCTCCAGCTCACTGCAGTCTCCCCTGGCATCCTGAGCCCTCAACTCCAGTGCTCGTCCCAGGGACCATGTCCCTTGCTCATAAAGCAGCCTCTATCTAACTCAGCCCTCAGAGCTGGTCTCCCTCCAGCCATGCCTCCTGCGTCACCTCCATGGGCATCTTTGCCTACCCCTTCAATGCAGTATCCCCATGTTTCTGTCTGAAGACCCCTTCTCACCTTGCACATTCCAGGTGACTGCATCCGTGCCCATGGCGCCCACAAATCCCCAAGCTCTCCCTGGAGAGTAGGCCTACCTTCTGGACAAGAAACACAGTCTACAACTTAATATCCCACAGGCATCTCCAAATCCACACACCCGGATGTACTCACTGAAAAGTGTATTGACCACCTGGCGTGTGCCATGTGTGACCTAGACGTGCCCTCCCTCCAAAAATCCGATCTGTCTTCAACATTTCCTTGCTCAGGGGTGACTGCTATCCCTATCCTCCTGGGTGCCCATGCCAGAAACCCAAAGCTCACCCCAACTCTGCTCTCTCAAATGGCCATACTCAGTGTTACTGAATCCTCTTATTTCTCCAATAGCTCCAACCTGGCCCCTCTTCCACTTTATCCACACTATCTACTTATTTATGAATTCATCCATCCATTTATTCATTTAATTAATTTATTTGAAAGATAGAGAGACAGAACGAAAGCACACCCATGCACTGGTTCACTCCTCAGTCACCCACAATGGCTGGCATTGGCCTGAGCCAAAGTCAGAAGGAGGAACTCATGCCAAGTCTCACACAGAGGTGGCAGGGACCCAGGGACTTAAGCCATCACCTGCTGCCACCCAGGGTGAGCATTAGCAGAAATCTGGATTCGGGAGTGGAGCCAAGACTTGATCCCAGGCTCTCCAATATGGGAGGGGGGCATCGCAGGCAGCATCTTAACCACTGCACCAAACACCCACCCGTACCCCCACTTTCACTGCCTTCACTCCAACTGAAGAACTAAATGCCACTGAGGACTGGCTGGCCATCACTACTGAGAAAGACACAGAGCTGCGCGGATCACGTGTTCTGGTAGTACCAACAACAGTTCAGTAGTTTCCAGCAGTTTTTTAACTTTGTATCTTTTGTGTGTATGATATAACTTATACACATGGAAGAATCTATTACTTCTGTAGTTCAGTGCACATTCTCCCTTTTGATCCTGAAAACTGTTTAAAAAAAAAAATCAGTGACTGATTACATGACCGGAACACAGGCGTGTAAATTCAGAGATATTTCAAATGTTTACTAACTGCTGCATTTAGGATCTAGGAACTTGGTGCTTTGCCACAAAATCCTAACACTGTAGTACACAGCCAGCACTTTTTATGATACTAATTTTCATAAGTTAACCTTTCAAGTTGAAATGAAACAAAACCCGAGACCCACCTAACTCAGCCACCTCTGCATCTCATCTCGTTCCACATTCGAAATGTACCGCAGAACTCCAGGGATATTAGGATGCGTTTCATGAAAAGACAGGGGTTTCTAGAAAAAAAATTCTTCTATTTTCATGGCTAAAAACAAAACTTTGCATAATTATGCACTTAAGCAAGCTTCTTCTAGTTATAAAAGTAGTAGGAAAACTCAGACTCTTCAGGTTTTTTTTTTTTTTTTTTTTTTTTTTTTTGACAGGCAGAGTGGACAGTGAGAGAGAGAGACAGAGAGAAAGGTCTTCCTTTGCCGTTGGTTCACCCTCCAATGGCCGCCGCAGCCGGCACGCTGCGGCCGGCGCACCGCGCTGATCCGATGGCAGGAGCCAGGAGCCAGGTGCTTTTCCTGGTCTCCCATGGGGTGCAGGGCCCAAGCACCTGGGCCATCCTCCACTGCACTCCCTGGCCACAGCAGAGAGCTGGCCTGGAAGAGAGGCAACCGGGACAGAATCCGGCGCCCCGACCGGGACTAGAACCCGGTGTGCCGGCGCCGCTAGGCGGAGGATTAGCCTAGTGAGCCGCGGCGCCGGCCTCTTCAGGTTTTTTTAAGACTTATTTATTTGAAAGGCAGATTTAGAAAGGGAGAGGGGGAGGAAAGAAGGAAAGAAAAGAGGAAGAGAGAAGAAGGAAGGGAAAGAGACTGAGAGATCTCCCATTAATTGGTCCACTCCCCAAATGGCCAAGGCTAGACCTGGCTGAAGCTAGGAGCTTCGTCAGGATGTCCCAAGTGGATGGCAGGTGTCCAAGTACTAGGGCCATCTTCCGCTGCCTTCCCAGGAGCATTAGCAGGGAGCTAGATCCGAAGTGTAACAGCCAGGACTCAAACCAGTGTTGCAGGTGGCAGCCCAACCAGCTGTGCCACAATACTGGCCCCACGACTCTTCAGGTTGAAAGAACTTAGCTAGTTCGTGCTTTTGCAGTCGTAGTTATATCACTCCCATTTACCAATAATCCCCCAAATGTGTCAAAGTCTCATTTTAAAGAATACCTTTCTCCCACAAGGTCTTGCTGAAATACTCCCTAAAGTATATAAAAAGTTAGGAACAGATGACAGGAAACGTTCTTCAAAAAAATGCCCAAATGGAAAAAAAATTATTCCTCCTGATCATGTGGCCACTTGGGTAGTGAATCAGTGGATGAAGATCTCTGTCTCTCCTCCTCTTTCAAATACATAAAATAAGCCTTTAAAAGGGGGTGGGGAGAGCAGCACTGTGATGTGGAGGGTGGAGCTGCTGCCTGCAGTGCCCCCATTTCATATGGGGGCTGGTTCAAGTCCCAGCTGCTCCTCTTCCGATCCAGCTCTCTGCTGTGGCCTGGGAAGGCAGTAGAGGATGGCCCAAGGACCCACGTGGGAGACCTGGAAGAGGCTGCTGGCTCCTGGCTTCAGGTTGGCCCATCTCTGGCCATTGTGGCCACTTTCGAAGTGAACCAGCAGATGGAAGACTTCTCTGTCTCTGCCTCTGCCTCTCTGTAAATCTCCCTTTCAAATAAATAAATCTTTAAAAAAAATGAATGAATCAAGTTAACATCACATTCATGAGTCATTCAACATGCCCTCTACAATGCAAAATCTGTAGGAGTTTTCTTTCATCCTTCATGAAGGCAATATTTAAATACAGCTATAGTAGGGGCCGCGCTGTGGCGTAGTAGGTTAAGCCTACAGCCCCAGAATACCATATGGGTGCCGGTTCTAGTCCTGGCTGCTCCTCTTCCAATTCAGCTCTCTGCTATAGCCTGGGAAAGCAGTGGAAGATGGCCCAAGTGTTCGGGACCCTGTACCCGCATGGGAGACCTGGAAGAAGTTCCTGGCTCATGTCGTAGCCATTTGGGGAGTGAATCAGTGGATGGAAGATCTGTCTCTCCCTCCGTTGGTAACTTTGCCTCTCGAATAAATAAATAACTCTTAAATAAATAAATACAGCTGTAGCAATCAGAGTAAGAAGTGAGCCTTGAACTGGGTATTCCAGAACCAATAACTGGAGAGGCTGGGCAAGTGGGTAACAGAAGTCTTCGGAAGCCTCATGTTTGAACCTGCTACATTAGACAGTAAACTCTGGCATCTTACAATGGTATTTAACATGCATTAAGAAGTCTTCTAGGAACATTTACTTAGCGAGTCTGTGCAAACCAATGTCGATAAAAGAGGCATTAGACAAATGAAAAAAGTCAAATCTTCCAAATGACATGTACATACACCCTCATTCCCAAATGCTATACAACCCACAGGCACCCATGCTTCCAGGAGGCAGAGTGGCTAACCTATCCCCACTGTGCTAGCACACCCAGTAAGCAGAGGATTCTCAGATACTCTTGACCTGGCCTTGAGAAATGTGGCAGGCTGTTTTTTACACGGTTCTTGACGCTGTATTTATCACTCCTGCAACACAGAATTGCAGAACAATCCAGAGTCCCTGCCCTTCTTTGCCTCGCATGAAACCCATTCTGGTTGGCACTATATATGGACAAAAGAAATATCACATGAGTCCCCCACTTTCCAATAATTCCACATATTCTATTCATTTCTCAAATGCCAGGGATCCAACAACTCTGTTACATTCTCCCTGCCCCAGCAGACAGAACCTGCTATGGCTGTTTCCAACGTAATGTGTTTGTCAAATACATTCATGCATGGAATTCCTCTCAAGTTTTGTTGCTTTGCTGTTCATTCCCCTCCAATCAGCAATTCAGCTCCACGGTAAATTATCACAGAACCGGACAAGGCTTTTAAGAAGAAACTGAAGCCCAAAATAGTTAACTAACTCTCCTTAAGTTACTTTCACTCCTCCTGAAACCAAAAGATATGTGTTTCACTGCCTTTCTCTAACTTTTTTCTTGATTATAATTCTGACCTGAGTCTAATCATGGTGGTTAGTTAACCATATCAAAAGCACCACTCTGTCCCCTGTGCCAGGCACCACATTAGCACAAAAATACAGTGACCCACTCTTGCAAAGCTCATACCCAGGATAACCTAGAGGGCCAAACACTAAATTCACTCAAGAACCTGTGCTTCTGAACATGCCACTCAATCCATAAAGTTGCTTAGATATTAAATGTCCAGGTCCCCAAATACAATCACCACTTTGAAGATAAAACCACACATGGAAAAGATGGGGGAATAAACTCATTTTCAACAACTGATTATCAAGTGTCCCCTGGAAGATAACATGCAGTAGGCTGAGAATTTATGATCAGTTTACATGAGAAGTTTAAAAGTAACAGGAAAAAATTTTATAGTAGTCTCTAAATATACTTGTGCCATGGACATATTTGCAATTATGCAACAATTTTTTTTTTTTTTTTGACAGGCAGAGTGGACAGTGAGAGAGAGAGAGAAAGGTCTTCCTTTGCCGTTGGTTCACCCTCCAATGGCCGCCGCGGCTGGCGCACCGCGCTGATCTGATGGCAGGAGCCAGGTACTTATCCTGGTCTCCCATGGGGTGCAGGGCCCAAGCACTTGGGCCATCCTCCACTGCACTCCCTGGCCACAGCAGAGAGCTGGCCTGGAAGAGGGGCAACCGGGACAGAATCCGGCGCCCCGACCGGGACTAGAACCCGGTGTGCCGGTGCCACAAGGCGGAGGATTAGCCTAGTGAGCTGTGGCGCCGGCTAATTATAAAACAATTTATAATCTAGGAATACTTCCCATTATCCCATTTAATCCTCCTATATTCTCAAAATTAAGTTAATTAAGCTTAAGTTACCATAACTGGTAAATGACAGATCCAAAGTTTAAACTATCTCCCAGTTCTAGATCCCCTGGCCTTTTAACCAAACCACATTGCCTTAGTAAAAGCTCCTACCAAATAGTTTTTCATGAATAACTACTGAACATGTACTTATTTATATGCCAGGTACAATTCCAGGCTTTCCATGAGTTAACTTAATTAATAATGTCATTTACTTAAGAATATAGCAATAACACCATGGCTCAAATTTAAAAAATGTAAAAATACAATGGCATTTGGAATTAATATAAAGCCAGTTTCAGACAACCAATTTATTGCAAGAAACTCACAATCAAAGGGTAGGATGGGGGTGGGGAGGGAATCACAACGGGGAGAGCTCATCCACTCCTAGGAAGAGGTGTCCCACCAGATTCCACAACTCACACAGGCCTCAGAGTACTAAACCGGCTCCCAGGAACTGGCCAAGCAGATCACCGGACTTGCTCAGCTGCCGGAACGCCTGCAAGCTTGCTTCCGAACTGTGGAGGCGGCAGCCACTCAGAGACCTGTCAGAGCTGGGACAGACGCTAGGCTGGGAGGCAGGGAGGGGACTGGCAACACAGCCCCGGGCTGGGGAGCTGGCTCCTGTGACAGCAGCAGCGTCCCCCTGTGCAGCATGGCCTACAGTTTGCAGCACGGTCTACGGTTCGCATCTGTTACCTCATTTGATTCACCCTCATGAAAACCAGAAACAAGACAGTGAGTGACTAAGACCCTAAACAATGAGCATGAGACCTTGCACAGGAAAAAGGAAAGCCCCCAGGAAGGAGCAGAATTTGTCACCCGGTCAAGCCAGCAGCCAAGCAGAACTCTGCAGCCAGAATCCTGCAGTGGGAGGCAGCCGAGAGGGAGAGAGATGTTTCAAAGAAAAGGCAGAGGTGTTAGCTTACACACGAACTCCTGGGAAAAGAACCGGACTTTCACCAGGCTGCCCATTCTCCTGCAGCCCAGCAGCTTGCATGAAAGGAAAAGGAAGCTGGGGAAGACTTGTGATGAGGGTGGCCTGATGGGCTGGGAGGAGATTAAAACAGATTAAGGCTCCAGATGACTGAAGCTCCTTCCTGATCAATTCATTTGGTTAATAAAGCCAAAGAGACCCAACCTCCTGCCATTTTTCCCTGTGGCTAAACCAAGAATTTCAAATCTCTCTACCATCTCTGTTCCCAGTTTGACCCACTGTCCTCAAAGAATAGTTCCTATGTAGCAGAATCTTGTAAAAATAACAGTTGCTTACAATTATTAATGTTAGCCCTGCTGCCAGGCAAAGAGGCAACAGGTGTAATGACTTGTCCACGATAACACAGCTAACACTGCTGCCCAACATAGCTGCTTGCAATCCATCTATTAAGAACTCATCCCATTTTAGCCTCTAACACAATTCAGTTCCACCCTTTTTTCCCAACATTAGTTGAAATCAAATGATCCAGATGCAATGTGATGTCAAGTTTAAATGGCAACAGAACTACCTCAGTGGGGAGGGATCTGAAGCTGAATTGTTGCTCTTGTGCTACAGTTTGCCCTTTTGAAAGGCACTCTTTCCCCCTATGTGACCTACCCCCACATCTTCACCAAATGGCAGCAGGACTTAGCTGCAGGCAGTTCAGGGGGCAATTTCCTCTAGCAGAGACCAACAGGACAGCCAACGCATCA